CTTGGTGTGTATTAAGAATCTGGAGATTTCCAGTGCTGATTGTGGCTCAGTTTAATGATTTACTTAAATACGTCGCAATCATTTTGCATTAAGAGTGCTTTCTACTCTTGTACATTACGTTTAAATGGTGTTTAATGCCGTCCAATAACATTGGTGGAATAAAACCCCTCCTAATCAGAATGCATTAGTTCCCCGTGAAATTTCTGCTCCCTGAAGCAAATAGCAGAGCCGCAGACAAATCCTACTCGATCCTACCTTAATGTCCTTTATGCTGAGAAATGTGCGCAAGCAAGCAATTACGTGTTGGGTGAATGTTTGCCAGATGTGTGTGCATGTCACCCTGCAACAGTCGGGTGCTGGATGTGTTTGTGTATTACAAATTTGGCCACAGGACCGTTTTGCGGGGTAAAAGGATGCAAATCGGCAGGAGGTAAAGCTCTCAACACAGCAACAAGACTCAGGGCCTGAGGTCAGCGGAGTGACATGCCAGGCTAAGGAGATTACAGCCTGCTGCAGACCAACCAAAGGCTGCCATCATCAGTACAGACTGGCCAGCAAAACACACCGTCAACACAGAGTTAAGGCAGTGGTGCCATGACATAACACAAGTGTGTTGTATATCTGAACCCTCTGGAATCTAGTCTGTTTGAGGATATCAAATCAAAGGCTTTGAATGCTGAAATGTGTTGTAACTGTGGATTAAAGCTTATGTAAAATATAAGCCACGAATGCATACACATTGTGAAATTCTGTATTTACATTTCAAGTGCTCCTCATTACACTGAAATTAGGGTTTTTCCTATTCAGCAAGTCTCATTGAGACCCAGATCTGTTTGGCAAGTGAGACATGACAAAGAACTCACACAGCAGTTCTGGGTCACGACAGACTATGTCTTGTGTTTCTGTATTTCATCATGGTTGTGTAGGGGTTGGTTCACTGTAGATGCTGACACTTGAGTTTGTCATCCTTGTTTCTCTGATTGTGAAACACAATAATTGTCAGTGTTCTGCTGTATGAAGACATATGGGTTAAAAACCACAAGGTGTCTGTGTCATCCTACTCCTCTAGCCGGTGATGAGGTGAGAGGATTACGTAACCTAAAAGCAAACATTGCTGTGAAAATGGACTGTAATAGTATACCATTATTACTCAGACATCAGTGTGGTTTTTTTTTTCCCCCTTTCGTCTTCAATGAGAACAAAATAATGACTCACAGCACACTTCTCAATTTTAAGCAGACCACACATTTTCCTCCTCCTCCTCTTCTTACAGAAGAGTTAAACCACACAAGTGATAAGTTACATCACGTTAAAAGTAGGCAGAGGAGAGATCAACATATAGAGACACAGAAGCAGAAACAATTTAGGCAAATCCCAAATCCCATGTGCCAAAGTGTCAAACAATTCAACACAAAAAGGCCCAGCTTTGGCTCTCGACCTACCAAATCCTCTCCCCCTCATCTACAAACTTTCCCACCCTACAAAAAAAAGGTTCATTTTAAAAAGGGTTTTCATAAAATGCCACCAAGCTGGCATGGCATGTACCCTGTCTGGCACAGATAGTCAAAACTCAGGAGTTAATGGCTGCTGCACTTTAACACATCCTGTTGTTTTGGCACTTTAGTTAAGCATTGTTGAGCCTCATGCTAAAAGTGAAGTTTTGCCTGCAGGCACAGCTCTCACACATTAGTTTCTATCTGACACACAGCTCCTGTCTGCTCACTGGAAAGAAAACTGAAATTGTAAGTTAACTTGTACATTGATTAATATCACAGAGTATAACTTACATGGGCTGCAACAAATTAATTCAGAGAATAAAGTTCACAGTGACAGAATACACGTTACAAATCAAATTTACTTTGTGATCGCAAACAAATGCGACAGAAATACCATCTGCTGCCTTGTTCTCATGTTGGTGTTTGTCTGGTTAAGCACGGGATGTTAAGTAACAAACCACCCCACTTGTGGATGTAAAAAGGCGAGCATGCCAAGCTCGTCATGGGACATGGTTGTTTCCGATGGGGCCTCTGTGTACTCATACTGTCTTTCATTGTTGTAGATCTGGGATGCCTCCAAAGCTCCTGCCAGAATACAAAATACCAGATCACCGCCTTGAAAAGAGTTTCAAGCAGAGGGACAAGCTGGTATCCAAGAAAGGAGAAACATCTTGTGCTGGGCCTAATTACTTCTGCTCCAGGATTACAGAGTTTTGACTTTTCTCTGGCATTCAGCGCAGAGCCTGATTGTAAATTAACGAGGACAACATTGATGCTCACAGCGCTGTTAATTATATTTAATGCAGAACACAGGAGGGCACAACTGTAGGTCTACACTACCCACTAACCGCCTCTCTACGTTGCATGTAATCTATTAAGTGAATTCATTGTACAGGTCTTTTATTTCATGGTTCAATTCTTAAGTCTCTCCTCACAACCACCACCATGGAGTTAATTGGTTAGAATAAGTTTTCCTAAAAACTAATATTTAAAAGCAACTGATATTAAGCCTGATGATGAATTATTTCATGTGTGCAAAGTATTTGCTTTGGTGCAGGTGTCAGAAAAGCAACGTAAAGAAGTAAGACTGCAATAAGAGAAAAACAAGATAAGATAGCTGAAGAAGATAACAACAGCTTCGAAATACACAAAAGCAATTTATACTACAGAGTAAGTAAGGTTCTGTGTGGTTGTTGAAATGTGTAATCAGTGGTTTAGATAAATAAAGTATCTGTCATGCAACTTAATTTTCAGTCAACAGAAAAGCTGCAGTAACAGATGCTCGCAGCAGATAACTCGATTACTGTGAGTCCACTTCCAACAACCTGTATGGCTGCGCAATCTCATTTACACTAGTTGTTATTTTCATGGCCATTTTTCTGGCTCTGGCATAGGAAGCCGATGTCCCAATTCTTAATCTAGTTTACAAAGCTCTGAATGGCTTGGCTTTTCTAATAGCGGTCAATCAGCACAACACCAGACCTACTTCAATCTTTGAAAAATCTGAGGTGCCGTCAGCTTCTGAGGTCTGTAACCAGCCTATAGATGTTAGGGCTGAGCAACATGACCTAAAATCTAGAACAATAAATATACATGTAACATAAATATAGTTAAACAATATTTACTTAGATAAGTTAAATAGGGGGTGGCGTCGCCTCACAGCAAGAAGGTTGTGGGTTCAAACCCAAGTTGCCTCGGCCTTTCTGTGTGGAGTTTGCGTGTTCTCCCCACGTCTGTGTGGGTTCTTTCCCACCATCCAAAGACATGCAGGCTAGGTTAATTGGTGTCTCCGAAATTGTCCTTAGGTGTGAATGTGAGCATGAGTGGTTGTTTGTCTATGTGTGGCCCTGCGATGGACTGGCTACCTGTCCAGGGTGTACCCCGCCTTTCGCCCAATGTAAGCTGGGATTGGCTCCCACGACCCTGTACGCAGGTTAAGCGGTTGACGATGGATGAAGATGCCATTTCTTATTTGTCCCAATAATTACAGAATGACCAATGAACTTCTGGACTGTCAGCTGATAGACTGGCTGAGCTTCAGGTTAAATGGCATTGGTTGTTGTACATGTTCTCAGCTTAAATATGTGGGATATAGGCAATTGATTGATAACTGTGATATGAGCAACTTTCTGCCATTCATGGTCATAAAAAAAAGACAAAAGCAAATGTCTTTTATCAATTTTGTCTCAATATTTCTCCATCAGATGGAGTTTATTATTCAGCTGCAGCCTGCATATAAACCTACTCTCTGACTCAGAGCAGAGAGGGCAAAAGGAGCTTGCCAGTGTCAAAGATACATTTCCAGAGGAGTTTAAGAGGTCAGTGTAATGAATAGTCAATCACACTGATACCGTCTCTGCAGGACTCTGAGTAATGGAGTACAGCTCAAAGTTACAGAGTCTGTGGCATTTAAAAAAAAGGTGGACATATAGCAAAGATGATAGTATAACATTAAACTCAAAGTTATGAATCACCAAAACTGTGAAACCACAAGCACAGATTATGTTAGTGTTACATCTGATGTGGCCTAAGTGTTGGTGTTGAACTGCAGTGGGAGAATGTACACCCTTAATAACTGCATAGCTGAGTGTTAACCATCAACGCTCTAGTCTGTTTCTTATCAAAGAGTTCACCTCGCTGTCTGCCAAGAAAACTGGGAATCAAATGTTTTTATGTCACAGAGAGCAGATGTGAATATCTACATCGGCAACAGCAGAAATGAGACAGACTATATGAAATTAGACTGGAATGTGTTTCTTTGCACACCGGAGCAAAGACGAAACAGGATTAGGAGCTTTGTTTCACAGTTATTGGATTTTGGCTCTGTGGGAATGGAATTACCCAAACACCGAGAGGAAAGCAAACACTGAACAATTCCTGTTAATATGGAAAATATGACACGGTGTAAACACTTATGACACATTAACATAAGCTTCATGAGGAAGCTCATATCTTCCAAGTCACTGTCATGGAAAATATTCTTGATCTAAACTTTTTTCGTTCTCATTTCAACAAACACTTTACATCTGCTCGGTGCACTTAGGCTTCCTTACTTTCAGAGTCAAAAGCCCTTCACTGAGACATGTCTCTAAAATACATCTAAAACACTTAAACAAATCTGTTATTTAAAATAACCACTGCTGGTAAAATAAACGGCAGGTTTCACATGTATTTCTATATAAAACAAAAACTTTACTTCAGAAGGACGCCCAACTGAACTCACAGGTGAGCCAGGTAATGTAGGCATGAGGGAGAGAAAGGTAAAGTAGATAGGTGTCCTTCCTCAGTACCCAAAGTACTCACGAGCCAAGCACAAAATCCCCAAGCTGCATTAGTGGAGCCGCTCTGTGGCAGTAAAGGACTGAGGCTGAACTGTCTGGGCAGCTCCCACGGGGTGAATGAGTGCAACTGCCTGAATGTGGAACAGAGTGCTGATGGGTTTTAAGAAAATGTCAGTCTCACCCTTGCTAATAAGCTGTCAAGAGTGCGTGTGCTATAACTGACCTGTATCTCCTCGTAGGCCTCGTCAATAGTGGTTACTTGGTGCTGCTCGTGTAGTGCCGGCTCGTCGCAGAAGAAGCACACCAGACTTTTGTCGGTGAGGCAGAAGAGCTTCACCTTCTCGTGGTCCTTGCAGGGGTAGGAGCTCCTCTGGGCGTTGAGGATGGCGTCCAGAGGGAAGGCCGAGTAGCGCTCCACAATGTTGGACAACTTGAGACTCGGCGAGAGGAGGGGATCTGCAAAGGTCCTCCGGCACTCAGGACAGTCCCGTGTTCCGTGAGGCTCCTGCCTGCTCCAGTGCTCGGTAATACACTTTCTGCAGAAGTAGTGCTCACAGCCAAAGCTGACGGGGTCCTGGTAGATGCTGAGGCAGATGGAACAGAGGAGCTCGTCCTTCAGACAGCAAGCCATTTGCAAATATGGAGACTGAGCCGCATCTAAGAGGGCAATTCTCTGGTGTGGAGTATACTTGGTTTAATTTTCATATGCGTGATTCACTGCCATGTGGGAGTGACTGACGAGATCTTCAGGAATCTTGGGATTGTGCCTTTAATGCCTCTGTTGAAAAATGGCAAATAACAACAATAAGATACCCCAGTGCACAGTCTGATTCATTTATAACAAAGAAATCATTAACAGGAGCAGATTCTTTTTAGTTACACATTGACAAAACGGGCTTCAATTAGAGCCCATTAAACATATAATCTTATGAGTAGGTTTTCTGTGGGCTGTCATAGCTGTCACACTGCTGACAGTGGCTAAATTTGAAAGTAGGGTTTGAACAACTAGTTGTTAAATTGATTTAAATTGAAGTCAATTCATATGGTAGTATGAATACCTTTGGGTTTAGGACATTTAATCAACAAAAACTAATGTAAATATGTCACCTAGGGTATTTGAAGGGTATTTTTCACAACTTTCTGACATTTTATAGATCAAATGATTATTTAGTTGAGGAAACCCATCTGCAGATTAATGGCTAATTAAAATAGTTGTTAGTTGTGGTCCTTTTTGAAAGCACTTTCACTCAAGTACTTAGTGTTGTTTATCAAATCACCTTAAAACCCAGAACAATCTAATAATATATTGGACAGAACCTACAGAGCTCTTGCTTTCTTAACAACATTAAACTCCATTATAATGCTTTGATTAAGCTTTTAACAAAAGGTGCAGACACACTCCAGTTTCACTTTGGTAGCTTCCTCATTCCCTGGGCAAACACCTGAACATGTTTATGCTTTTATCAAAATACTTCTTCCCCTTTCTACATCAATTTCCTCTTACATTGTGGAGGATTTCTTGATTCTCACAGTCAACTGTTTGCACCGACCAACAGGGAAACACCTGCAGCGGTATTATCTCTTCCTCCCACCCTGGTGTGAAGAAGCGTCCTTTTAAATTCCCTTATGAAAAGAGGTTTTAACAGCCCGGACTGAGATTTTTAATTCTCACCATCTACCACAAACTGTAGAGTCAACATCTGTGCTGTAGCTTAGCATATATGCTATTTAATTGGCTTCCTCTACCTTGCTTGTAAACTGGATTTGTAAACATAAGCAACCAGGACCACGACACCACCAGCAAACCACAGCGGGAGGATGAGAGGGGGCAGAGGCTACAAAAAAGGGGCAAAACACTAATTTAGTAAGCTACATTTAAAAAAAGCTGAATCCGGAGTAAGCATATGAGAGGTGAGGGTATTTGAATATGACAATTCATAAAAGACAGAATGGATAGGAATAGAGAAAAAACAGCCTCTACTCACCGGCGACTTCAGCTGCTCCAACGCAAGTGTCTTTCAGGAAGGAGAGCAATACACAGCGGCAACAGACGCAACCAACTTAACTGAACGATGGGGGGGGGGTTCAAACATTATATTGAAAAGATAACGGCAGTTCGTCGATAAATACGTTACGAAAGGGAATATAAGTTCATTTATATTTAATTTAGGGATTCGAGTTTTTTTGGTGGGTGGCTTTGCTTAAATAAAATAACTATAAAGTTTTGTCTCCCTCTAATAACAGAGTGGCTCAGACCGCCTCTCTGCCCATTCTCCCGGTTAGCATCGCTACCTAGCTACCTTGATTACAACAAACAAACTCACTAAAATACACGAACAGCGGCTGGGTAACAAACGTGTTGACTTAAAACTAAACAAGTGTAGGAAATGCCATGAAAATAGACTGTCGCTATTCCTGGAGACGTTTTAATGAGCCGACCGAGAGCGGCTTCCCGTGGCTGCAGTGTCAGCCTTCAGCCAGCAGGTGTCAGGAGCGTCCGCAGAAAACACTTCCCAGTACAGGCGGAGAGCAAGAACATCCACACCCTGTAAACTCATCACTCACACATGCAGCTGAGGGAGACTCCCTTATAGAGAATTATGGGGAAATCACAGGTTTGTATATGTGGTAAAATCTGTTATCTCTATCTAATTTAATTTAATGTCTACATACATATGACGCCAGTTTAGTATCACATAAGCTACACGTGTTGTATGTAACTAACCTACAATCAATTTTTTGTACAAATTTGACATACTTGTACTTTGAGTATTTCAATTTAATGCTACTATGTACTATGACACCACTACATTTCAGATGGAAATATTGTACATTTTACTCCACTACAATTTTGTAAAGCTGTAGTTACTTTGAATAGTATGTTATTTTATCAATAAAACTAACCAAGAGGATTTCCCATTCAGTCATTTGTTATTCCTAAATCAAAGAGCTACACAATTAAAATGCTGCTTACAGAGTCATGCATTATTAGTAGTAATCTAATACAATCACACAACCTTTCTGCTGCCTAATGAGTACTTTTACTTTTGAGAACAAGTATATTTTGCTCCTTGCACACCTGTACTTAAAAACTAGTGCCATGCCACAACTGACTACCATATACAACACGTTATGTGAAATCTTATCGGATGAAAGTATTATCTTTTCACACAAAGTAAACATTGTGTTGTTTGTACACAATTTTGTAATTTCTAAATCAAGCACACAAATTGTACTTTTTACAGCATGAGTGAGATATATTTTATATTGGATAAGTCAGAGGTGACAATGTAATTTAAAACTCTTGTAAAAATATTAAAGTTTTGATTTTAACGCTTGTTACCTTATGATGACTGCAGACTACAGGTCATAATTTATATCCCTTTTTAATTTGCAACTACCTGTACTTGCACTACCTCACTGAAGGATAGACAAAATGCACATCTTTATTTATAGCATATTGTATATACATATAAACACACAAAGTAGCAGTTGATGAGTTTGTTATGTAAACAGAAGAAAGCGTTAAGCCATTTGTTGTGAGATTGTTTTCAATGCTGTATCATGACACAAAGCCAAAACAAATGGCTTTATCAGTCTTTCATAAAGGGGATTCTTCATGCACTATAACTTGCACTCTCCTCCTGCACTGACATCAGGGATTGTTTGCCGGCTTCTTGCTGTGGGATGCTAAAGGACTCTTCTTCCTCTCCAAAGGGGAGTTTAGACTCTCCCTGCATCAAGTCTGTGGGCAGGACAGACGGTGTCCCGCAGGTCCCATTTCCTATGTGAAAAGTGATGTTGACGTTGACGTGGGGGCTGGTGGTCACGGGGCTTATGATCTGTGGGCTGGTGGGCTGAGAGGAGGACTGTGTTTGGACGCTGGGCTGGGGAGTGACAGGCTCCACGTTGGAAAGTAAAGCCATGGGCTGTGACAGAGCAGAGCATGGATTGTAAAGAGGTATGGTGGATTGCAAAGGGTCGATGGACTCGAAGCTGCTGCAGCCGTTTGTTCTGGTTAAAGTTTCAGTATTGTTACTGCTCTGACTGTGGTCACTGTAGGCTTCCCCTTTCTCCAGCAGACACTGTTGTTCTGGTGACATAACAGTGAATGAATCCAACTGGGTTTTACCCAAATAACCCTGATTGATCTGCAGCAGAAAGACATGAAAAGGTTTATTCTCAGTATTCTGTATGGCCACAACTAAATTGAGAAGGATTCAAGAGGAAAAACCAAGGGAGACTCACTTTATCGCTACTTTCAACATTTCCATTTGCATCTACTGAAGGATAATAATTTTCAGCATCTGGGCAAAAAAAGCAGAGTGTACATGCAGTAACGGTGAGTAAGGTAGTGAAAATCTACAACAAACTGTTCCTGATAATGACCATTATTTATCAATGTCATTATCACTGCATTTCAAGTTAAATATAATGTAGATACAATCATATCGTTTCCTCAAAAAAATAACATGATTAATGCATTTAACAGCAGGATACAGTTACCTTTCTTACACATGGGTTTACAAAGGCACAGCAGAATAATGATGATGAAAAGAAGTATTGATCCAATGATAGTGGGAATAGCTGCAGCTAACAGAGGTAAACACAAACACAACACGGAGGCACAAAGAGAGAAATGATTAGACTTCGGCTTTCTCATAATGACTGCTTAGAAACACCAAATAAGTTACCGTACCCAGTATACTGTCAAATCCTGGGCTTGTTGGCAGGCTTTTTGTTGAAAGTACAAGTACTGTCTCTGAAACGGTAGATGGCAGATGGCTGATAGACGGCGTGGGGTTTGTCGGTCCATGTGGAGCCTTGGAGTCTGAGGTTGCTAAGACTTTGTTTGTTGTTGTACTTGCAGTTTTGAACAGTGTCTCAGTGAACTGATCATTTGGCTTAGCACACACATTGTCTGAGGTAGCGTTGCCTTTTCTAACAACACCACTCCTGGAACAGCTGGAACAGAAACAGAGGGCAAGGTCAAAGATCTGAGCTCCAAACAGCTGTATACAGATGTGACTATCATTTGCTCACTTGGTATGAGGCTGACAGGGGTCTGTGTCCGAGTCTTTATCGGAGAACGTTCCATCAGGGCATCGTTTACACTTCACATCTGAGTTTGCCGTCCCTGAGAACAACACCCAAACATGTTGTCAGTTATTACACTTTAACTTGATGACACATACAGTATGTATAACTTTTATAGTATATGTGGTTCGTATAAAATTTATACTGGAGTCTAGTGTTGTAGTACTCGAGACCGGTCTTTTTGATTGTCTTGGTCTCGTCTCGGATTCGACCGCCTTTGTACTCGGCCTTGTCTCGGTCACTGAGGACTTGGCATTTTATTTCAAGACCAGTCAAGACCATAACTATGGGAATATTAATAAATTGCTTTTGCATTGTCTGATTTGTTAACATCCTAACTTTGATTGGAAGTAAAACGTATTGCTTCAAATGCAACCAATAACCCCAATTAAACATGTGTTGTTCCCGTTAACAACTGTCACCCCTCCCCGCGATGCTTACATTGATTTCAGCTCTTAGTGTTTGTATGTGGGTGTTTTAATTGGAAAGTGGATATTTCAGATCACTTTTAGAAGTACCTATGATCTCAGTCCACATTTTATTGCGTGCCATGCAATGCAGGGAACTGGTCTTTGTCTTGATTCGGTCTCGCCCTCCCTCGGTCTTGGTCTCGACTGCTCTCAGCCCCTAAAAGTCTTGGTCTTGTCTCGGTCTTGATAAACTCTGGTCTTGGGTTTGACTCGGTTTGGGTGGTCTTGACTACAACACTACTGGAGTCCATACTATTCAAACTGTAATTATGTTCTTGATATGTGCAATTTGCAATAATTATAAGGGAACCTCATGGAAACAAGATGACGCATCACACAAAGGGTTTAACCGTAAATTTGAAAAGGGTAAGAATTACTGAAAAATAGAAGTTGCTGTACCTGGCTGAGACACGCCAAAACCAACTTTGCATGTCTTGTACTTGTTACACTCTGTGCAGTACGGGTCATCAAATCCCAAGACGCAGTACATCCCAGGCTGGCACACACACTTGGATTTTGTGGTAGAGGAGCACTTTTGGCCAGGCTGCAGACCTTTGTCTGGTTGTATGTAGAAAAAATATGTTTTGCTTGTATTAAAAACAAAACTATAAATAATTTAATTTCAATTTTTTTTTTTACAGAGATTAATGGTGCTACTGACTTGCTTTGCATTTGTCACAGGCGAAGCAGGTTGGAGAATAGTTAAAGCTCTCCATGTACTGGCCTGCTGGACATTGTTCACACACGGTCTCAGTAGTTTCAGTGCACTTCTCTTTCTGTCGCTGTCCTGTTGTGATATAGACATGAACATTATACACTTTAAATGTGGGCATTATACTGGCAATATTTCTAACAGCAGATGAATAGATTAAAAGAGTGTGACTTACAATGCCAAGGAGCACATCATCAACTAATTACTTTAGTTTGTGGGGTTAGCATATCCACTGTGTAGTATTTCCATACTGAGTGGTAGAGTAGCTGATCTTGGAAGCTATTAGGCTAACGTTAACGGCTTACACTCTAGCACCACAGCAACATTACCCAAGAGGGTTACATTTGCCAAACACATTGGTTAGATGTCATCCTTAAAGCCTATTCCCTTGTAACATTTTTAGTAAAACAGTGTTTAATTATGAATTATGTTAGGTAAGCAGCCAAACAGTTATGCTAAAAAAAAAAAATAAAAGCCTGATCTGACATGTCTTCTTATACTACAACTGTTATTAGCTCTAAGATGCAATACAAGAACAAATCTGTTTCTTTATTTCCATGTCTGGCAAGGTTGCTGACTTTTTGCCAACTTTAGTCTATGTCTTCTACCAGTATATCATGTATGTAGCAATTAAGTGCATATTTAAAACATTTACAGGAAACATTCAAGACCCAGTCGGAGAGAAGCATTTTCAACCACCTCATGGAGCTAACGTTAGCTTGACTAGCTAGTTTACCATGGTGACCACGATATACTGCATGGGACATTTTGGGGTAAAAAAAGCAAACTCTTCAGTGGTGCAAAATAACATTTATTCAAGTACTGTACTTATGTACAATTTTGAGGTCCTTGTACTTATTTCCATATGATAGTACTTTATACTTAAATTACATTTCAGATGGAAATATTGTACTTTTTACTCTACATTTATTTAAACAGCTTGAGTTACTAGTTGATCAGATTCAGATAAGTAATTCAAAGTATAAATCATTTAATACTTTTTCATATACCATTCTGCAGAATTTGTACTTTTACTCTTGGCATTTTTAGTATATTTTGATGGTAATTACTTAAGCTGCAATAGTGATGTAGGTGCCACTGTCTCTAAACTACCTCAAATCTCTTTAGGAATTTCTGTACTGCAGTTTCTCATCACCTCTCGGCTTTTACACAAATACCAATATATATGATATCATATTTCTTTATAGATAGATTTATCTATCTAGCTATACTTTAAACAATTTTCCTCAAATGAATAGTGTACGCAATACATTTGCTTCCTTGTCTCTCAGGATGAAACAAGAAAACTGATCTTTAGCTACAGTAGGTGCTTCTTTCACACCTCCACGCCCAAGCTTTTACCAACATATCTGTGACTGTAAATAACATTCATCTTTTATTCTATACTGAGGCAGCTTGGTCTTTCAGTACAGTAACTGATCATTTGTATGAGTGAAGTGCGTTATTTAAGAAACTTTACAAATTGCAGTCCTTTGCTGTGTTTACAGGACAGCACGTACCAGGGTGGCATTTCTTGCAGCAGCGGTTAGATTCATCTGACAGGTACTCTGTTGTTCGGTCACGACAGGTTCCATTTGAGTCTGGCTCATAGGGCTGAGAGCAGACCTATTGGGAAGAGAGTCAAAACTTAAGTAACTCATCTTCAGCTGTTCAGATGAGAATAGTGAAGAACATATAAGTCTTTACACAACCGTTTGACACACATGAGCTGCACTGAGACTGTGGGGGGCCTTGAGCTCCAAGGTAACTTTTGTGGTTTTGAAATTACTGTAGGTGGAAAATATTTGCAGTCCACTTTTGTATCAGCCAGACATCTTTCCCTGAAATTCACCTGCTCTGAGGTAAATCTTAAGCGTACACCTAATTCAACCAGTAAAGGTAGTAATTTTAAAATCAACAATTTAGTCATTGGTTGGAAGGAAATGGACAAGATAACCAGTGAATGGTAATTTTTTTTTTAAACCCAGTTAAACAGTAGCTTAAAGTAGTATCAGACCACCCACACCTGCGCCCACCTTTTTTCTTCTGGTAATGCTGCTGGCCTGAGCTGCACACATAGCAAAACAAGCAGTCATTGTTTTGAATTTGTAGGAGGTGCATTTCACCTTGGCAGTATCTCTCTTCTCTGTGGGGCCCTTCAAAATCTTTAGGCTCTGGGCATTGAACACATGCATCCATGCAGTAACTCAGGTTCGACTTGTCTCTCACGCGCGCATACCAAAATATTATCTACCTGAACCACAGTATTGGTGTGCTGAAAAGTCATGACACAGTGTACATTTGCTGACACACGTCCTGTGCATGAGAGAACGCCTTTCACCACAGTGCCCTCCAATGACAAGCAAAAGTTGGAATATGCTGACAGCAGCAGAGTATTTCTCGTATTACAGGAAACAGAGGCGGCAACCTAGAAGCCCTCGGCTCAGAAGCACTGGCGTCTTATGTGGCGTGACCACTGCTGCTACGATGCAACGACAAAGAGACTTCTGTGGAGCTTTGTGTTATCATTTACTGACTGTTTATTCATGTTTATCCTGGCCATGTACCTAAACTAACATATCCTCTTTATCAGAAATGCACGGTTATAGTGGAATACAGTAGAAAGAGGTTCCTACATCATTTCATTACTGGGTATCTGAGACATTCAGACTGAAACTTCACCAGACTCCAAGCAAACGAAACCAAATTCATATAGGTTCACCCACACAATTATGATAACTATGCTATCTCTAAAGTAAGACTTTCTACTCTAGTCTAACATTGTGACACTCAGGACTAAACTGATATTAATAAAGAAATTGTTTTATGAGAAATAAGAAATTTGCTGGCGCCATGACTGGAGACAAAAGTAAGCCGGAGTTGAAACTTGTTAAAAGCTAAAATGTTTCACAATTATGACACAAAAGTCCTTTTACACATTTTGCTTATTTTGAAAGTAAGTGCCCGTTTTACCTACACGGGCCCTAAAGTAATCCAAGTAGCTTAAGTGAAATTTAAACTAACATTTACAAGCAGTTGGTGGTCATCGGATGAATTCCCGACACTGATATCCAGAGTCCCTGACAAACACCACACAGGCATGGCAGACTTATAGATGGACACAAAGCCTACCTTGGTAGTTCGGGCATTCAGCAGAACCAGCAGTAAAAGTATGTCCTTCATTGCTTCTTTAAAGCAAATTATAGACCGTAGAGGACACAGCTACTGGCATGTGCACGCCACTGATCATTTTACAAAGGCGGGCCAGCATAACATTTCCTCGAATTGAGTGTTTGAAGGAAGTAAGACGGGCTCTACCCTACATTCACTGTGCTAATGTGAACCATGCCATTAGACGAGAATTTAAATGAGTGTAAAGCTGTTTGTGTACGTCCACATGTTAGACAGCTCATTTATATTATAGGTTATATATACATATCATGAAAATACAATGAATTCATCTTTGTTTGCCCTGCAGCTGTTTAGAGGGAAGATAAAGTGCCTGTAAAAAGTATTCAGACGCACTTAGAAGTTTCCCTGTTTTATTGTTTTACAACATTGAATTAAAGTAGATTAAATGACACCTTTTCGGGAGAAAGCAGGTCTCCACAAAAGGATCTAAATGATTCACTTGTGCCAATCTTCACCCCCTTTAACAGGAAACATAAAAATTATTGCTGCTGCAGCAGGCTGGTTTAAGTAGCCACACAATTAATTAGTAAAATTTAGATAACCTGCTTGCAGTCAAGGGGTTTCAGTCTGGAAAGTCCAACAGTTGGTGAGTCAGTATCATTGCAAATCACACAAAAAAAAACACAATACAGAAATCATTTAAATCCAATGCCAATAATGTGGTCCCATGACTAGAATTCAAAATATTTAGCCCCTTCATGGCAAGTTATTGTCTCAACTTACTTACTTTACTTAGTTGAAGAAAAATGAAATGTGAAAATTACTACCCAAACAGGAAGTGGACTATTATATTTCCCCTTCTTGTTTACACACAAACATGTCATATGCAGTCCTACAAATCCCAGCTTTCATCATCAACTGCAGAAGCAATTGTATATAAGTATCGCAGCATTAAAATCAGGATATCGATAGAATTTTATGTGTTTTTGAAGAACTGATCCGTGCTTCTGTTTTTTATGCTCTGGCAGGATATTGTAGCTGATAGTTAGATTATAGAGCTATTGTTGTTCCACATTCATGATTACAGGAACCGCCTTTCAAACTGGAGGTCCAGGATTTGCATTTGCATGAACATCCTCTCCAACTTTTCATCCCACCTCTGTGGGGAGACATGTGAATAAAGTCAAAGGCAAAAATGTTTACTTAATAGTACTCTACCCACTACTGACTGTTGTCGTCTCATTATAATTCAGCCGCAGTACTGTACATGCTGATGTCATGCCTACATTAATGCCCCTGTTCTTTTTTGTTCCTGTGAAAGACGTTGACATTTCATAATAAAGTTCCCCCTCCCACATCCTCTACATTTCTCTGGTGCTAAAGTACAGCAGTAGCAGCCCCGTTGTCCACTGTGGTCTTGTTAAGTTTTGTCTGTTATAGTGAATTGCTTTTATCGTGTAATTCTGAGGTGATGTTTAATGTCACACCTTCAGTGTTTAACTGCATTTGTTGTTACAACATAAAACGTGACCAGTAGAAGTGAAACTGGTTTTAGAGGAAAATGATTTATTCCTCATGTTTTGGTACAATGATCTTGTAGTCTGTACCTTATTGTTGAGTAATTTTAGGTATAAACATACATACTGTCTGGCTTTATTTTTGCTTAAGTTACAGTCTTAAATTCTTACTGCGTAGTAAAGCAGGGATGATCAAATCTTGTTTTTTTTTCTCTAACTGTGTGAGATGGAAACCAATGGCAACCCAAAGGTCCAAAAATACATTCAATTTAAATGTACAACAGTACAGCATGCTTTGAAAACTGGTTTGTAGTAGTCATGATTTGAAATAATTTGACTAAAACATGCAAAGACACTGGTATAGTCATTATCTGCAGACTCCAGTATTTAACAGTAAAGTAAATCTCCTGTGTTACCTGATTTATCTACCTTGGATAGCAACAACAAACAATCTGTCAGAAAAATGTCAGTGTCTGACTTGCGCATCTGATCGCTGCTGAGTGTTAGATTACAGTTATTGACAAAGGTCTCTCAGTAGGATGTCATAGTTTCAAGTCAGCTTGCATCACTGCAACGTAGCTGTCCCATGAAAATAAGCGAGTGTGAAAACACCTGTTTGAGGATTTGAAGATATGATGAGATGATGATATGAGCTTCAGAAGCATCATTTCCCTTAACAACTGTTTGTGGTAGATAATCAAATAGTATCACAAAGCCTCATCTTAAACATAGCGTCGCTCTTGCCTGGCAGATAACAGCACCAGCCTGACGCTTGGCTTTGAACAAGCCAACCCTTGTCCTACAAGACATAAAAGTACTGCAGCTTCAATACACAACAACAGGAATAAAAAAATCATAGATAAATTCCTACTGAACTTGAATCCTAACAAATGATGACAATAAAATTACATTTCCTTTACTTTAAATTCCTTACATTGGTCATTTTTGTTGATTTAACTGGACCCGCCTGATACATTTTGTGTAAAATGTCCAACTTCTTCAAATACATTAGCCTGCAAGACACAAACTGGAAATATCAATGTGTCATAGGTGGGATCGCTACAGTTTTTGACATTAAGAAAGGTGGCTGCGGTTTCCTGTGAATGGCAACCTTTACAGTACTCTGGCCTCAGTGTTTGCTTCTATAGTGTTTTCAGTTCCACAGTAAAGTGCCAAAGGAAGTTAAAAACAGAAGTACTGGTATGCCTGAACATGCATGCCAAAGCAAACAGCTGGAAAGGGAAACACAAACTGGTGTCTCAGCAACAGGAATGACTAAAAATTACTTCCTTAATGTTGCACAAGAAATGTTTCTAAAACAGTTTGCATGAGTTGAAGGTCTTTTCTTTCCACTGTGGTGTAATGTTATGATCTCTTGCTTCACATCCACAATGCTGCTGACAGTCACATGTGGAGTCTAAATGTGTCCAATCTTTAGTCTGGAATAAAACAAATGTGCTGCTCTGTCAAGTAAATTATTCCTATTTCATTAAGCTAGCATGATCACATTATGTATTATGTAGCCTAACATGTAGCATTTCATTCTCTGACTCATTACTTTCTTGAAAACACATTATCTCATGTTTCAAATGAATCTATTTAAGATCACTTGTGTTGAAATGTTGATGCACCCATGCCATTCTCCATTTAGATCATGGAGTGTTTGTTTCATATTGAAAAATCAACTATTTTGGTTTCACATTTAGCAGAGATAATACAGAAAAGCACTATTGAAATAAAACATTTACAAAAAATACAATACAGACATTTAAAACATGATTTTGGTCAGCATCAAATGGGAACTGTTACAATCACTTAAAAATAGCCTTTATTGGTTTGTCAGTGCAAAGGGTAAGATGTGCTTCCTAGTTTTCGTTTGGGAGAGAAGTGTTGGAGGTTGTGACGAGCCAAGCGAGACATATCTGAGATCTGGTTACCGGACACTTTGGGCACAGAGAGACCCTGAAAAATATTTTAAAAACACCATTTGAGAATCGGCCATTTAGATCTTTTTTTCATAGCAGACATTTTGACATGTCACAGTAGGTAAAGCACAGGTGTAATCAACAGCATTAATAACACCTGAATTCCATTTAGATCAGCCAGTTAAAGGGCCTTGCTATTGTGCAGGCTGGTTCAGTGTCATTGCTTACTCGGACACTTAAAGGTTAATTTAAGTATTTTAAAACCTGAGCCCTATTTTCACATATTTTGGAGTCAAAATTACTAGTAGGTACAAAAGGTTTTGGAATCCGTGCAGTAGATGGATTCAACTGCGAAGCGGCAGCGTATCCTTCCAATTACACCTGTCAAAATTATGTCCATTAAAGTGCTTCTTTTTGCCATTGACAGGCTCAAACTGTTATACAAGGTGTTTACCAACATCATGGAAAGGATCCCTACGAGTGACTCCCAGTGACACCATTTGTTTTTAACAAGAAACAGAAGTCTTGCTCAAGGGCAAATCTCCCTCTAAAATCTCACTAGAGTCAAACATTTATTGAACATTTGTTATACTGTTATTGAGGAAGATAATATCTTGGTAATTATCATATTGTTTGTATTGTCCTGCCCTAGTTGGAGAGAGGATTTTGTTGTGTTGGAGTAACGTTAGGAAATAAGTCTAGCTAGCAGTTCCTCTTTGTACACAACAAACTCCCTCTCCATCGTTTCCACCGGCATTTCCTGCAACAACTCGCCTCTCATGACGTTTCAGAAGGAGAACTGTCTTTGAGTGAGACTTCAGTTTCTTGTTATAGCGTGTACCCGGGAGTGAGTCACAGGGATCCTTTCCATGATGTTGTCAGATACCTCAAATAGCAGTCTGAGCCTGTCCATGGCAATAATTAGTACTTTAAATGGATGGAATTTTGGCGAGTGCAATTTCACCAAAAGAATATGTTGCAGCCACTGCAGCCGGCTGAAGCCACCTACTGCACGGATTCCAAAACATGTCATTTTTCGACACCAAAATATGTGAAAATAGTGTCCACCTTTAAAAATACCAAAAAATTATCCGTTAATAGAACTGAACAATCAATAATGTTGGAAGTTCCACCTCTGCTTTTCCTGCTATGACAAGTCAAAATGTCTGCTGTAAAAAAAGGTCTCCAATATTATAGTTTTAGATCCAGTAGGGAGCCTGCAGTGTCTCACCTCCAGTTCTTTGTTCTGTGACCCAGCAGAGCTCTTCATATTTAGACTGCTCCTCAGATCGAGGCCGCTGGGTGGCGGCAGCGTGCCCTGACCTGTGTTCGACCAGCCTGAAAGACAGTGCTGAACAAGACCCGATACATCCATGAAGATGGAAAAAGAAGACTGTGGTACATTGATAAAACGTACTATTTTAATTTAAACGTAGAGATGTTAACACAGGATGTACAGAGGTAAACTTAGTAGTCATAAATTGTCATGCAGTGGGCAAATTCAAACACTAAAGCTGATGATACACAGAGCAACTTTCAGAGCAATCGTACAGGGTAATGTAGCCGTCAATGGTAATGAGTAAAGATTACTACCGTAATCCCCTTGCCCCACCACTCCGCCACCTGCCCCGTACCGCCACTATCCGTTCAAAATGGACTTGCCACTACCAAGACTGCCCCGTCAAAAAGTTGCCCCATCTATCATCAGCTTTACTCACCGATGGTAACCCCAAACTATCAGAAGGATCAAAACTGCATCGCCGATGAGCTTTGTACTCGTAAGGTGGCAAGAGGGCGGAGCGAGGTATGCTGACCCTTGCAAATTAAACAAAAAGAAAAATCATGAGACAGTATCTATGTTGCTACAGTGGTAAAATGTGATGATTTGAAAACTGATTATGGATTGTTAAAAAAAAATCTTTGTAAAAGGTTTTCATTGGTTTTAAAACCCTAACCAACCTCTTTCAGCAGGAATTCTCAAGTATTTTCATGACATGGTCCACCAAATAGACACATTTTAGGCCACACCCAATTTTGTCTCATCAACCTATCACATGATTTTTGATGTTAAAAAGTGTTACACAAGGACTAATACTGTATTAGTCTTTCTCAAAAATGGAAAATCTCAAGTAAATATATTTAAACAAAATGAGACTATTATTAAACTTAAATTTTAGTGGTGACTCCTGGGAATCCCTGAGGATGCCTAAACCCACTGCCTTGGTAGAACCGCCACAATGACTGTAGGTACTTTTATTTGACAGTGAGACACATACATAGAAGTAAAGCTTGTTTCAGACTGCAATAATATAACACAGTATAAAAGGTCTCAAAGTACATCAAATTAAAAATATCTGCTGGCTGGTACAAATTAAGGGCTTTTAAGTGGTTGATAAAGGCAGTCAAAGTGCACATCATCATTACCTGATGAGTGCTGGTTCAGCAGTAGTGTGAGGGTGGGAGGATTTGTGGTTTTTGCACACCGGGCAGCACTCCTGAGAGTGAAGTGGGACGGGGAACAGTCTGCTGTTAATCCTGTAAGAGAATGTACCTGAACAAAAGGTGAGCACGCAGAGATGAGAATTACTTCAGCTATCATGAAAAAGAAAAATGAGAGTACCCTATTCAAATAAATAACCCCTCTTACACTGATGAGTGTCCATGTTAGCCTCTGGACCGTCCTTATCTGTTAGCAGTGGCAGGACTGAATGGTTCTCCTCAGAAAATCTATGAGGACAGTCAGTTAATTGTAATTTCATGAAGCCATCATCAATCACAGGTAAACTTGGCACACATAATCAGTCGCAATCAAGTGTGAAGCACTCACTCTGCTTGTGGGCTGTGGACACACTCGTCTTTATTGAGCGATCGAAACATGCGCAGGTCATTGAAGAACTCGTCAGAGCGCTCTATCAGGGAGTCCTCAGCATCCAGGACTCCTTAGAGGGAACACACATCATCTGTTAGGGCTCCATCAGACGATTGTGCGTATAAGGAAGAAATAGGCAAACAGAGAGTCCAAAAAGGCGTACCTGCTATCCAGTCATACCCCAGTAAAGGCTTCAAATTACGCCTATCGGAGACAGATATCTCTTTGCATTCATCAGACTGAAATGTGACTCGACTCTGCATCTCCCTCTACAAAACCAAACAAGTGGTGCAGACTATTAGTGGTCTAATAGTGGTCACTACCTGCTGGTAAAAGAAATAATTCATCCTACTGTGAAATATAGGTTCACACAAAATCTAGACCCACTGTAACATGCAGAGTGTTAGCCCTTTTGTTCAATCTGTGTCTGTTCCCAGACTCTACTGTAGGCTGTGTGTGACAACAGAGACAATCTTGAGTGGACTGTCTTCGCCTCTTTTTTCTTACCTCCTCTTTGCTGTGATTTGCTAGACAGGACTTGGTGCTGGCTGGCCTCTTTTCCCGCAGCCTGTATGTTGGATGCTCAACAGTCCCGCCTCTGTGTTTGGAAATCAAAGACGGTGTTGAAATAGTGCGCTGGATGCTGGATGTTTGTCTCTGGCATGTATCTGATGGCGACACAGAGGAAGATATTTCTCTATCAATAACATACAGGATTTTGTTATTCGTCACGTGCACATGACAGGCTTGCAGTGAAACGTCAAAAAAACTAAATATGTAAATAGGGCTGGACCCGAATATTCGACCGTTGGGTACACATTCGATTTTCAATTATTGGATTCTATTATTGAGGGTTTTTTCGCGCGCCTGACCTCCGCCGACAACAGTGAAGGCAACGCTCCAGTTCACATCAAAGGCAAAACTAAATGAACTAAATGGGAAGCTTCGATTATTCGCTCTTAATTACTATCGAAGCGTCGAAGCTGAAAAAAATGACATTCGGGCCACCTCTAACAGTTATATATAACATGAATGAATGAATAAAAAGCAATCACATATCATCAGTTACTTTTCCGGAACTTTCAACCGAATCATTTAATATGCTTTAATATAAAGCTAAGAAAGTGGACCTTGAGTTAACTATATTTATCATCACTTTAAAATTAATTTACATTTAGCTACTTGTTTTACACCTTTTAAAATACACTTAGTAAGCTCTGTGTTTACTGTGTGTTGGTTGAGTCAAGCTCAAGCATGACTAAATAGTTTTTACTTCACGTGACTGACTTTAGTGCAGAGACTTACAAATAAGGACCTATTGGACGATTGGCACATCCTGAAACCATAGATTGTATATAAAAAACGCAAGTCTTATCTGGTAGCTCACTTAGCTAAAAGCTGCAGACTTCTCAATGGTCTTCTGTCAGCAAACTGTGTAATTACCCGCAAATCTCACGGTAGGTTTGGCGAGTGCGGCCATGGCAGCCCCGCGGTCTCCGTCAGTCAGGGTCCGGATCTCTGCGGGGTCTCTCCCTACCTCAGCCTCGTCCTCTCTCTCCCTCTTGCGGCTGGGACTGCAGCCGCCCAGCAGCTCCAGTTTCTCTCTCTGCTGCTTCAACTGCTTCAATAAATTTTTGTTACGCTCTCGTAAAACGTCCAGTCGGTCCGTCGAGGACATTTTTAAAAAGTTTAAACCACGTTAAAATCACGTTTATCTAACTGAGGGTGACTCAAACAGCGAGTTTCTTTTGTGATTTAAAACTCCGGCAGCTCCATAACAACGCGTTGACAACAATGACTTGATTGGCTGAGAACCTTCTACCCATCATGCTTTGCAACCATCCGAGGGTTTTCTTAAAGTGACAGACACACATTCACAGGGCGTGATGTTGAACAACAGAGGGCGCTATTTACTTGATTAGTGACACTGGACAAAGTTGATGATGGTCGATGGTTTTGGGACTGAATGCCACAGACAGAAACTCGGAGTAACCAACGTTATTTGGGGGCTTTTAGTGGGATTTGTTGACAGTAACAAAAATATAGAGTATTGCCAGCCTTATCCTTCAATGCTGTAAGTAAAGTCTTACACAGAGACAAATGCTTCACCTGAAAATGTGTATTTATTTTGTGTAATACTATCAGCTGTCCATGATGAAAGTAAAAAAGTACTAATTCTGTACTGTTTCCTATTTCATATTGTGAAATAATAATGTTATATTATTATGTCATATTATTGTTTTATAATTACCTATGTGTTGGTGCGGAATCAGAATCAGAATCAGCTCTATCGTCTAAGTATGTGTACACACAGGCCTACAGGGAATTTGATGCCAGTTTTTTCAATGATCTCACTGTACTTACACAGAAATAGACATAACAGCTAAGAACAAGGACAACAAAGCTGAACAAATAAAGGTAAAGGAATACATAAGACTATTATGTGAAAAAATAGGTGTATATAATATATATAAAAGTAAATTAAAAAGCACTACTGACCACCAACAAAAATAAAATGTCTACATGTAAGTGAAGCATTCAGATGTTACAGCTAGTCAGGGAGGAGCAAATTTATAGTCATACATCATATTATATTAGAATAACATATGTTTTGTAGTAACATCTGAATCTTAAACTTGAATGTCCTCAGAGAGGCAATTTGGGGCACAGCACAAAAACATATCGACACAGCACAAAAAAACCAAGCACAATAATCATCTAGACCGGCAGAGTAAACCACAGCTGTTAAAACAATGTAGTGAAATGAATGAGTGGACAGGATCAAGCACTTCAACATTGTACTTAGGTATAGCACCTATGCTTAAGTCTCAGTTGCTACTTATTGTGACTATCTTTCTACCATTGGTTAATAGAATAATTACTATTACAAATAACAGTCTATGCACACAATTATATTATTAATCTTGTCAGGTCAAATTAATTCATGAAGCATCTTTCAAAGATTTGAACAAAAACTGAACCCAACTAAATTTACCTAAAGACAACAAAACAAAGAACAAGATAGCCAGCTGAAGACATAACAAGCCTTCAAAGCCCAGTTAAGCCTAAACAGTACCACTACAACCCCTGGGACAGAGAACGGGGACATAATACTAAAAGAAAACCATATTTGGTAGAAAGAAAGAATTCACCTCAGGCCAGGCAGTTCAAAGAGGAAACTCCTACGAGGACAGCTGCAAGAGTGCCAGAACAAAATAATGAGTCCGGGAGTAACATAAAATACATAACTACTGAACAAGGTTAACAACAACAACAACAACAACAACAACCATAAAACCATATCTTCACAATTCAAGTTTATTCCTTTCATGGTCAATTTAAGTTACAGTTGTGAGAATAAGAGTCTAAAATCATATTTGCTCAGAGATTTATAGCATGTAGAGAAATACTACATACTTTCCTTTTGTGCACCCTATCAGAAGACCAAAGCAACTTTAACTGTGCACTGCCAGAGAGCTACTAAAATCCACTTCATCCTACTTCTCAGGGGGTCATGTGAGAAAGAACTCAAACTTGAGTCTTGAAATTTCAGATGTGAAGTTCAACAACCCCCATATATCCAAATGCCTTTAAATGACAGCAGAGCCTAGACAGTGGCATTACATTTCCATTTTAAGTTATTCCAGTGCAACCTTTTGAATTTTACATTCAGTGGCCACTTTATTAAGCACACCTGTAACATCGAATGTGATCCAATAAAACAGCCCAGTAATAAATTCTACCTTTACAAACATAGTAATGTTACTGGTCTGTATCATATTAAGAGGTGTTCACACATTTTGCACAATCTTTAATATACACAATTTAATATAATGCAGTCCAGTACAACAACATCACTCATAATGACCATAGAAATAAATATATAGTTGAATTACCACTGTTCTGAAAGTTTTTTGTTTTTGTTTGTACAAATACTGGCCATTGTAAGCTTTGTAAGGGTGGAATATGTTTTATTTTATTTATTTTTTTATTTAAACTTTATTTAACCAGGCAAGTTAGTTAAGAACAAATTCTCATTTACTACCATGGCCTGGCAGAGTGTGGTTGATTTGGACTGCATTCAATTTTTGCACATGTACCTAATAAAGAGTCTATGTTTATGTGTCACAATAACCTACAGTAAACAACATTGACATACTGTAGTTTTACCTTCTAAAGTCATTTTGTGAAGTTGTTAGCAAACTGTCATTATTTAGACATCCAGCATACACAGTGGGACCATTAATTCAGAGTTGTTTTTCAGGCAACCTGATGTCTATAAATCCAGTATTCACTCACCTTGAGCACTGTTTTGGTTTCCAACAACGTATGAGGGGAATATTTGGATCTCTCTCTCTGAACCAAACCAACAACAATGAGCTAAAAGAGGATAACATGCTCCTTAGAGCTGTGGGGAACAGCAGAGCCAGTGTGGGTTCATCAATGCGAGCAACTACTACTACACATATTACACAATTGATCCACTGCTAAAAATCAATTATTGCAGCTGTAAAAAGTAAGTAAGGTTGAAAATATACAATCTATAACTGAACACATCCCTAACTGAAAATACAGACATCATTTCATAGTGCCAGTTGACTCAAACATCCATACTTACAGCAGTAGGGTGGATTTCTCTTAGTTTACACACCGACCTAAATTGTATTACAAATTTCTGAGTTTATTTTATTAGGAAAAAAAGTCAGACGCTGCTTTTGAAAACAGTCAGTCCAAACACTAGATATTTCCATTTACACCGATTACTCTAGGACTACGCCACACATCATCAGGTTATGCATTGTTAGCTGAATGGCCAAACTGTATCTAACCAATACATTTGTCTGTGACAGATTTAGGCATTTTATGGTTCGGAAGACTCTGCTTGCACTTTTTCTAATCCACTTGTGTTTTCATATGTTTATGTGAATCTGTACATATTTCATGACGCACATACATGCACATACAGTTGCCTCCTGCTGTACAGATGATCTGAAAATAACATCAGAAAACAAAGGCACATGCACATTACAGTTTGATTCCATTTTTGAATGTAATATCTCCATTTGAACTTTTTGATAGGTTAGAGTGCTTGTACGTTGTGAGAGTGAGTTAGTAAGAAGTGCTGCACATTACCAAATCTGCATATTCTGTACATGTTGCCGCTGTAAGTTGAAGGTATTTTATCAGATGCATGAATGCTGAGATACTAGCAGATGCAGATCATTTCCTAATTTCTTTCTGATTCCCTATTTTATGTTGCCTGATAGTTGATTGATGTTGATTTTTACCGCACTGTTTCTCTCTTAAAGGACAACCAGTGCTTGTAAAAGTGGCGACAGTAGTACATATTCATCCTCTGCTGGGTGGCTTAATGACTTTAGTTTATTTACATTAAACCTGTCCATCCGTGGTGGCAGTAATGACAGTGATGCAGGTGGTGCAAGGTCACAGCCATAATCATATGCCTGATCCCCTGTGGAGTGAATGGTGTGGAACCGTGTGGGCGAGCTGCTGTTCAGTATTCCAGTCACGGCTTGTTTGCATTGAGAGCTGTCCAGGCCAGTCCAGTATGATTAGTTGACCACAGTAGTGTGGAGTTGCACCCCATTATCATTAAACGGTGCCAGTCATGAAGCCATATACTCCTCCCTGTCTCTCTAATTACACCCCCACTGTTGGGCTCCAAGCAATTACTGCCTGCCGCCAGAACGCTTCATCGTTCATTAGGCACAGATAACGGACACATCAACAACAAAAACAAACGAAAAAGCGGAATTACTTATTTCTGCTAAAAAACAAAATATCTCCAACAATTTATTTGGATGTTTTGATTTTGATGAAATCAAAGTTGTGTTTAGGAGAAAGCCGGCAAAAGTATTGGAAAACGACTCACATAATCCAGAGAAAAGTTAGGCAGCAGCAGCACATTACATTAACATTTATCTGACGCTTTTATCCAAAGCAACTTACAATTGCTATAAATGTCAGAGGTCGCAACAAGGGGTTGAGTGTCTTGCTCAGGGACTCTCACATCAGAGGTATGTGTCTTATCCACTGCACCATCACCACCCCCTAAGATTGATGAATATTATATGTGTCTTTTTGTCTTGTTCAATGTATTTCAAACTCCTGTCCTGTGCAATGGGGCCCCTATATTGTACATTTAGTATTGTATTCCCAAAAGGAAATAGAAAAATAGGCTGTAGGTCTAGGTAGAGCTACAGCTGATTTTCCAAAACCACATGCCATCTGACAGAACCATGTTCTGACTGACAGTCTTAGCCCAATACTTTATATAATTTATCTCTACATCTTCTAAAAGTAATATATTATTAGAACAAATTGTAATCATCTACATACACCCATAAAGAGGGCAACACAGTGATGTAGGTAGGATATTTTTTCACAGTTCAACTTTGTATGGAGCTCCTGATATACTATACTGTGTCTTAAAACTTGTTTTCAAATTCTTAGTTGTTTCCCTATAACTTAAAATATTCTTGAATAAATAAGAATCAAAGTTAAAGTTAAAAAACAACAACATAGGAGTGTATCACTTAATCACTTTCAGACTCTAATCTGCTTCATCAGGCCTGTAGCTTGATCAGATCTGAATGTGACCTGACAACATAAGCAAACAACTCCACAACTGTCATCAGATTTTCATTTAAATGTCACTAACTTCGGATTGGTGCCGCATGAACGTACATGACATCACCTTTTTGCAACCGAATCCTACCCACTTCAAACCAGTTAGAA